AATAATAATAATAATCCTACCCCTTAAGCAGCATTGGCCGCGGGGGGAGGTCGATGGTCCGCTCCGCGCCAGACTTGGGGGTGAAGTTTTGCTGTGAGCCGGCGGATGGAGACGATCGAAGGCGGGGGGGCGGGCAGAGTGGCGCGCGTACCGAAATGTTCACAGCGCGCCAGACAACAAGACAGCGCGCCCAAGGGGCGGAGCGGCGGCGGGCGTCGATGCGAGGGAATATCTCGAAGTGCCCACGCCCTCATTCTCCTTGCGCAGTGGCCACGTAGCAAACCCCCTACGGTGATCTGGACACGATCCCGACCTTGATCGCTCTCTCTTTCACGATCCCGACCTTGATCAAGTCGGGATCGCCGATTGATCTCGACCTTGATCAGCGCGATCGCGACCTTGATCACGATCCCGATCTTGATCAGCGCGATCGCGACCTTGATCCCAACCTTGATCAGCGCAATCGCGACCTTGATCCCGACCTTGATCAGCGCGATCGCGATCACGACCTTCACGATAGGATCTTGACATATCAAGATCCTGACCCCGATATTCATCCCGATCCCGATATCCTGACCCCGATATTCATCCCAATCCCCACCCTGATATTCATCCCAATCCCGATACAAATTGAATCGATTGAACAATCAATCGGCGCAGATACACACACACACACACGAAGGCACACACACACACACACACACACACACTGGTACTGATTGATTGATTGGTTGCCGGGGGGCTCGCCTCCCGTGCGCGTGCTCTCCCCCCCCCCTTTACTGATTGATTGATTAATTGATTGATTGATTTATTGATTGATTGATTGATTGATTGATTGATTGATTGATTGATTCATAGATTGAGAGAGAGAGAGAGAGAGAGAGAGAGAGAGAGAAAGATTGATTGATTGTTTGATTGATTGCTTGATTGATTGATTAATTGATTGATTGACTGATTGGTTGATTCATTGATTGATTCATTGATTGATTCATTGATTGATTCATTGATTGATTCATTGATTGAGAGAGAGCGAGAGAGAGGGAGAGAGAGAGAAAGATTGATTAATTGATTGATTAATTGATTGATTGTTTGATTAAATTAGAACTTATAAAAAAAAATTGTCTCAGTCGCAATTAGTCGAGATCGAGTCGGGATCGAGTCGGGACTCGATCGAGACTCGATCGATAAAAACTGTCTCAGTAGCGATTAATAAAAAAATTAACTTAAAAATTGACTCAGTCGGGATTGGTCGAGATCGAGTGGGGATCGAGTCGGGACTCGATCGCGACTCGATCGCGACTCGATCGCGACTCGATCGTGACTCGATCGTGACTCGATCGCGTCTCGATCGTGACTGGATCGCGACTCGATCCCGACTCGATCGCGACTCGATAGTGACTCGATCGCGACTCGATCCCGACTCGATCGCGACCGGATCGCGACTCGATCCGTTATATAAACCATTCAATCAGTCAATCAATCGTTACTCGATCGCGACTCGATCGCGACTCGATCGTGACTCGATTCTCGACTCGATCGCGACTCAATCGCGACTCGAACGCGACTCGATCGTGACTCGATCCCGACTCGATCGTGACTCGATCGCGACTCGATCATGACTCGATCGCGGCTCGGTCGTGACTCGATGTGCATGTGTGACTCGATCACGACTCGATCGCGACTCGATCATGACTCGATGTGTATGTGAGTGTGTATGTGTGTGTGTGTGTGTGTGTGTGTGTGTGTGTGCACGCGCCGCGATCGCCCCGACAATCAATCAATCAATCAATCAATCAATCAATCAATCAATCAATCCATCAATCAATCAATCAATCAATCAATCAATCAATCAATCAACCAATCGATTGATGTTGATTGATTGACTGATTGATGGACTGATTGATCCGATGATTGAATGGTTTATTGATTGTCGGGATCGAGTCACGATCGGTCGCGATCGAGTCACGATCGGTCGCGATCGAGTCACGATCGTGAGTCGATCGTTAGTCGATCGCGACTCGATCCCGGCAATTAATAAACCATTGAATCAGTCAATCAATCAATCCGTCAATCAGTCAATCAATCTACATCAATCCATTGGTTGATTGATTGA